GCGCACAGTAAGATTAGCATTTAACACAAGATACGCTTAGGCGAGCTGGTACCGTAATTCCGTTAAACTAATTTTCCATCTTTCCTTTCGATTGCAAAGATTTGTGATATATGTCGAACGCGTGGTGGTGCGTGCGTAAAGTGCTCAGGCTATGATGTATGTCACAGAGCATTCCATGCGACATGTGCTCAAACAGCAGGATATAAAATGGGATTCGAGGTACTCCCCAGGTCCAGCACAGAACCTCCAAGACATGAATTCGGAAACAACATGAACGGACGAATGATTGCCAGAGTATGGTGCCCATTTCACGTAAATTTACCTCCCAACTTTGTAAAACTCGGAGCTCGTGATTTGACGCGACAAGATGTATGTATACTGCCATTCCAATACGTGAATTGGCTTTATGGTTATTTTTGAGCGACTTTAATTTCATGTATTCATGATATCTTTAGTCTGCAACGTACTGTTATGCACGTGTATGGAAGCAACTGGACTTTACAACAATTGAACAGAAAAGAAAGCGGCGTTATTATCTTACTCCATTTTGGGATCCGGAATTGATGAAAAATTCTACACCGATTTCGTACACGAAAGAGTCCGATCCGGTAGCGTCTCAGTCTCAATCTCAATCTCAATCTCAATCTCAATCTCAAGTTGGAGATTCAATATTGCCTTCTCCAGACATGATTGACAATCCGTACAACACGACAATTGCTCTTTTACCCTCGCCACCGCAACCACCAAACGAAGAAACCAATAATCACGATAGTCCGTCTACGATTGGGGCATGTTCAGACACTTCTTCGCCACCGCCTCCTCCTCCACCCCCGCCCCCTTCATATTTAACGACATCGTCAGCTTCGACATCAAGGTCAGTATCAACAACATCATCACCGTTCCAGCCCTCATCACCATTGCCAGTAGTATCTTCGCCTTCGCTATCACGATCACAGTCGCAATCACAGGCACAATCGCCATCACAATCACCATCACAATCGCCATTACAATCGCAAACATCATCACCCTCATCATCACCCTCGCTGTCACCCCTAACATTACCGTCAAAACCTGCATCGCGACGTGACTCCACGAGTTTAATAGAGTGGCCTCCAGCAGCAAGCAGATCTCCACAATATCCTCGTATGATTTCGTTAAAGAAGATTACGTGTACCAGATGTTCCACTTCTATATCACCGAAATGGTGGCCGGCCAATAATACACCTCCCCCAGTTTCAAAGAGCTCGCAGACAGCCAGGGTAGTTGGCTTCACCGTTACAGGCCCTGTTATATGCCAAAAGTGTTATTGGGATGTTAAAGAAAATGAAACCGTCAAAAAGTACGATGCCATTGATATTGCCAGGATGTTGGCTAATCCAAGGTTCGTGTCCAAATCTATAGTAACGGAAGAGGATGATCCTCAGAATCAAATAGAGAACACATAATATAGAATGCATGTCATCATGAATATAGTTACGTCGCATATTGCATTTCGATTTAGAGGTGATCAGTATGTGTGTATGATACTAATCTATCCATCACAAGTCATTTAGCAAAATTTCTCCTAATGCGTACATATTTTGCCCTATCGTGCAAAGATTCGCATTAAGCACGCCTCCAATTATTTTCGAATACTTTTGGTCATAATGACAGTATTTTAATAGTTTAATAGAATAATACGGGATTTATGACGGATCTTCAACAGGCTAATTGAATTTCCAAGATTATTTAATAAACGATTCAAATTTTTGATTTTATCAAGTGGGGACAGCGCATACTAATACTAAACCGCATAATGATTTGAGTCAAAGTCTTTTCGATCGAGCGATGGTTCACTGATCAAAAGAGTGGCCTCACACAAGAATAAAATCTCGATTGTTTGCGTACTCGTATCGAACACTTTAGCATTTGATGTCTACGTGGGATAATGACCTATCACATGATTTCAATACGCTTCTATGAAATACAGCCAACGGAATATTATTAACGTGTGAGCATAAGGAACCTGATCAAGAGTAACGCGAATGATGACTATTTGAGCGTGTGTTGCCTAGCAGGTTCTATCGACAAGTAAAATATTTCTTAATGAGGAAAGCCTAGAATAATGAGAGGCATCTTCTAACTTGCCTAAAAATTCAAATAACGATTTGCGAAACATATTTTAAGAAGAGGCAAACAATTAACAGCTCATCGAATGACGATTGTTATTAGTGGAGAGAATAAATAGCAAATACGCATTGCTATATCATATTCCATGACTTTTTGCGAAACTGCAAATTTTAGGCGATGACGATGATGTTATTCTTACATGACGCCTGATGCAGGAAGCTTAGACATGGTCGAATTATTTATTCTACACAGACATCATTCTCCCGAGCTTATACTATAGTCCTTCATAGGCCGAACGATATCCAGGTCGCAGTGGATAAAACATGATGCGTAGTTCTTTTGATTTGACTTCCCACTCCCCAGTGCAGTATCTTTAACAGATAAGCACATACTCGAATAGCAGCGCTTGTTGATCATAAAGACTGCTTCTATTCTAATATCTCTCAATTGCCGTACGGCTTTTGTATAAAAAACGGTTCAGTCACGTTTTCACAATTGCGTCGTCAAACACCTGACGCCGTTTTGATTATTAATGGGCAGACTCTTTGTAGGTTCAAACGGACAGAGTCCAATATATTATTTAGCACATTCGAATAAAAAGAGAGGATCCAGCAACAAAAATAAGATATGATATTAAGCTCGTGGCTTTTCCTTTTTCTCTTTATACCTACAGAAAGAATGTGCCGATTTGCAAAAAATCAATAAATCAACAAGTGCTAATGAGAATACAAACAAGGTCCAGGAGCTTGGGTAGTGTTATACTTACAAAGCAAGTAGGGAAACTCCAGAAACTTTGACCACTTTAAATCGGACACCGGGAATATCACCGACCTAGACGCATTAAAGCAGACAGCTCGTTATCTCATTCATACCAAAGCTTTTCTTTTTAAACTTTGTGCTTTGCAACACGATCGCAAACAATCCTTGC